TGGGCTGAAGCCTGTTACTAAACAAGTGAGTGGTCAGTCACTGTGCGGTTTTTTTTTTTTTTAGGTTATTTCTTGATGTGTTGGAACATCAATGTATGACCTATCTAAATCCACATCTATATCTGTGATGCAGCTGAGGTTGATGGGTAAGATTCAGGTGTTTCCACAAGGTGGCAGGGATGAGGGGACAGGTCACAGGGTGAGGGACAGGAACCAGAGTGTGAGACGGTGTGCGAAAGAGCTAACAACGGGGTCTGACTGCTAGCCTTTACTAGGCCTGTGTGCAAGTGTGGTTCTTTTTTCTTTCTTTCCACGTTTGGTTCTTGAATGACATCTGGAAACCTGGATTCTGGGAGGGTTTCCACCATTCCCAAACTGATGAGGGGCTCACTACGCCTACACTGCATGAACAATGTGGTTTACTTCTGGAAGCCTGGGGCTTTGGCATGTGTTAAGCAGAGGGCGCCGACATAGCCAGGTCCTGATAAAAGTCACGGCCACTGAGTTTCTAATGAGCTCCTTGGCAGGCAACATTCCACATATCCTGGGAGACTTTCAAAGTCCCCTTTGAAAGTTTGAGCCTGGTTGCCCCCAGGCGAGGCCCACAAGTCTTCCCCCCCCTTTGCTTATTTTGCTTTGTCTTCTTTTGCTGTAATAAATCATCCCCACAAGTATGATAACTTGGGAACTTGCAACACAGATGCCTAAATCACATGGAAGTCAAAATCATTTGGGAGACTAAGTATAGAAGGCAGGCAGGTATCAGGTTTTTCAAGATGATGGGTAGTAATTAGGTCATGAGATGGTCATAACCAGGAGAGTGAGAGGATTACTGGAGCCTCAACAAGAGTAAGCAGGGGTTTTTCCAGAAGGGAGGGTGCAAAGATACCAAGCCCACATCCTAGACCGGGGCAAGAAATATTCTACTGCTACCACGGGGAAGGGTGGAGGGGGTGGTGGTGTGTGGGCAGTGTCCTCAGAGGACTGGGCTAGGCACTTGGAGGCGGATTAACCTTGTATCTGTTCTAACAATACATCTATCTATGTTGACATCTATAGCAATCAGGGCTTTCTGGTATTTTGTGGTTAGTAAGAATGTGCGTGCAGGAGCACACTGGTGTGGAGGAGCTCAAGAGCTAGCACCACTATCTTTGACCATATTTAAGTCCTCAAGAGGTGTCAGATGGTGTTCCCCTTACCCACTCTCGCTCTGGCTTCCCTTGTAGAAGGAAAAATAGTGTCAGCATTATTTTAACAGCCAAAAGGTAGAAATGACCCAAATGTGACATCAACAGAAGACTTGATCCATTGTAGTCATTAGTACAATGGAATATCACACTGCAGTGAAAATGAACAGTCCGCAGCCAATGCAACACCACAGATGAATCCCACACACACAATACTGAACAAAGAAGCCAAGCACTAAAGAGCTTATACTGTATTAACTTCATTTAGGTAACAAGCAAAACAAGCAAAAGCAACCTACGCTGTGGGATGTCAGGTATTAGTCATTGTTAAGGGACAGCAGGCAAATGGGAGAGGTATGGAGGTGCTTCTGGGGCATCTGACTTCTGACCTGGGTGCTGGTTATGTAAGTAATTATAATGTGTGTACTTTTCTGCACAGGATTAAATGTCAAACCAAATCAAACATGGGCCTCCTTGGTGGTGCAAGGGATTAAGTCTCAGCACTATCAAGCTCTCCGCAGGCACTGCAGCACAAGTTCAATCCCTGGCCAGGGAGCTGACCCACATGGCACAGCAGACCTCTCCTGTCTCGCCCGCTGCTCCCCTCAGCAGTGTATTTCAGTGGCTCAGCCTATTCTGCTCCCCACTCTGTCTCTGGTGGATACTCTCACCACCCCCCACACCTCTGGCCTACATCCTAGCTCTTGGATTCATAAACACATCTTTAAAAAAGAACAAACAAAAAAATACAAACCAAACAGAACTGCTCTCAATATATTAAGTGAAAAAAGCAAGTTTCCCGGTAGTATATACACTATAACCCATTTTTTCCTGAAGAGTACTTGCTGGTACAGAACAATGCCAGGCAGAATATATAACCAAACAGCGTTAACAATTGTTTGCTCTGGGTGGTGGGATTGTAGATGATTTTTTTCCTTTTATTTTTTAAAAAATCACCTCCCATACTGACCGTATTCTTTTCATAGCATATTACTTTCACAAACAACATAATAAAACTATACCTAATTCCATTTTATAAACTGCAAAGCTGCAAGGCTCCACACATACCCAGTTTGGGACAAAGAAATGCTATTAAACCCGGGCGAATGGAACATGGGATGATCATCACCAAGTAAACCATAAAGAAAAGTTACAAAGCAATTTCAGCACAAGCAAAATCCTGAATTGCAATGCTGGGATTTGTGTCCTCATCAACAATGCTGTGAGGGTCTCCCTGGTGGTGCAAGGGGTTAAGCACCGCACTATGAAGCAATCCACAGCCTCTGCAGCACCACTTCGATCCCCGGCCAGCCAGGGAGAAACCCACATGGCGAGGTAGACCTCTCCTGTCTCGCCCGCTTCTCCCCTCAACATTGTATTTCAGTCAGTCTGCCTGTTCTGTTCTCCACTCTCTCTCTGGTGGATCCACTCACCCCCCCACACCCCTGGCCTGTACCCCAGCTCTTGTGTGCATAAATAAATAAATCTTTAAAACAAACAAAAAAAAAAACAATGCTGTTGAGAAACTGGCCCCAAAGATCATCAGATTGGGGGAGCCCCAGGACATTCAGTAAACACATTCCCATGCTCTGTACTGGGATGTCCACTTCTGGAATTCATTACCACCTCATCTGGGCCAGGCTCCTCATATCCCCTAAACATTGGCCTTCTTTGCTTTCTCCCCTTTCACTGGCAGACTGCTCTACAAGTCTGGAGGCAAAGGCGAGACTTTCTGAGCTCTGAGTTCCTTGTTGGCCGCTCTCAGTTGTTTCTGTGGCACCTAAACTGTGAGTCACTCTAAGGCCTTATTATTGAACTAAAATATGCTTTGGTCTCACAGAGCTGCTTTGTTTCTCTATAAACCACAATATGGACATAGTGCATTTTAAAATGTTTCCTTAAAAATCAACATTCAGTATGAATTGGAATCATATTCAGGTCTATTTTCATACATTTATGAGCTAAACCTGGAAACATTTTTATCAGTCAGCCAAGTTGGTTAAACTGGAACGGAGGTGGAATTTAAAAGGACATCATACCACTGGCGCAAGGCTCTGCACCATCACTGAGAACAGAAACCACACTGGCTTCATAGTCTCACCATGTGTTCCTGGAGCCAGATTTATAAATGTCTCAAAACCACAAGCTTGCTTTTATCAACACCAGTTCTGAAAAACAGGGTAAGAACCTTCGCATCGCTCCTCAGAAAGCTGGGATTTTCCCACAAGAGCAGTGCCTTGGGCCGGCATCCCTGCTTCCCAGCACTCGCACTGGCTGGCTGGCAGCTGTGGGCCTGCAGGCCTCTGGTGCTCAAAGGCTGTGCGCTCCCTTACTCCCCTCATCTGACCAACTCTTAGCGGGGGGAAGTCTCTTTCAAAGTCATCCCTGTGTGCTCACCTTAACAGAAGCTACAGAAGTCTGCTCACAAAACCCCATTTCGCATCCTCAGATTCCGAGATTAATGGTGCTCCAGTACCTCCCTAATTCTATACTGCGACGCACTCTGCACTGTCAGTTAAACCAGTTTCATGTCTGACCCAACGGGGCAGGGGATCTTCGAACAATGGGTCCAGATGTGATTGTAAATGAGACATTAACTTGCAGAAGGCGCAGCTTCTCTTTCAGGAAGATAACCCACAGAAACAAGGACAACAGCTGTGTAAAACCGAGACACAGAAAACAACACAAACTCATTTCCTGTATGTTAGCACTAAGAAACAAAATCTCAGCCAAACCAGAAGTAAACATGAATCAACACGAATCTCAACTTCCATGTCCCTCCAGAACCTACCCTGCAGAAATGCGTTCCCCATGCCCCGCCCTGCGCCATCTGAAGCCTTCACTCTCTTCATACCCTCATCGCAGCCCAGTACACTGGATTTGGAAGGATGCAGAAATGAGAAAATAACCTGCTGTGGAAACCTTGCAAAGGGGGGCTAGATCGGATGACACAGCTGTGATGTTTAACTCTTTTTCTCAGGCTGATTGAACTACCGGTGGGACCACAGTGGAACTTCCTAATCAGACTGGGTGTGGGGCAAGGGAATTTGTACTTTAATAATGTTCTGCAGCAGATTCGGAGATGTGTGAGAACAAGATGGAGTGTCATCTCTATGTGAGGATGATCTTCCAAAATGCTGACAGTGCCACTGGAAGTAGGGTCCCTTTATACCAGGTCCTTTCACATCCTATGTAAAGATCATCTCTGGAGTGAATGTTTTTAAATATATGGTGAGAAAAATGTATCCTCATTCATGGTCTTTCCATGCGGAGGGACTTCAGCCCGTATGTCTCCAAGCGGCAGAAGGCAGGGCACTCACCATTCCAGGCCCTTACCCTTCAATGGCAGCATGGGCACAGTCACTGTGACAACCACAACACACTTCCTCACACTCCTAAATGCTCCCCAATGTCAGTTCAAAACCCCTGATTGAGAGCCACTGAGCCAGACTAAACACCCTGCTTCTGGAGGGAGAGATGGTCTGCCTAATTAGGACTTGAGGAAGATCCAGCCCTTCCCTCTCTGTTTTCTTGCGCCTGCCCATAGAGGGCGTAAACTGGCCTGAGGTTTCCAGCCTGGCCTGGGCCTGGCTGACGCATCTTCTTACATCTCAGATCACAACTCTGGGGGAGTCTGCACTCTAGAGAGGAAGAAAGGGGCTCTCAGTTTTACACGAGCACCTACAATAAATCTGAGGAAAAAAGTGTAAAGTTGCTTCAGGGAATATAGACCTATGACTACAGTCCCACTCTTACATTGTAGAGATGCCTTTCATCATGTCTCTTTCTGTTGTGAGAGAACACTACTGTTTCAAGAGAAAGAACTTTGACGAACAGTTTTATTGAACAGTTTTATTCTGCCTTAGAATAAAAACCTTGCTTTAGTATTGTAAGGTGCACTGCAGGTATGCCATGCTGCCAGTTACTACTGGGGCACCAAATGCCCCAGTGACCCAGGGGCCTGGGAAAATGCATGAATTCATACTTTCAGAGCATAGAGAACTGCTATTTACAGCTTTTCTTCTTGAAATTGGCCCGGGACATCTCAGTCTACACAGGTATTGCCATAGCACTTGTTTTAATGCTCAGAATGCCTCAGAAATGTGTTCAGTATCATGATTTGTGGGTCCTCCAAAAGGTTTTGTTGTTAACATGCAAGCAAACAGTATTAAACAATATTATCTAAACTATGGCTGCCAAGTACTGGACCTTAATAATGAAACCAAATTACAAAACATTTCCTTGTAGAGCTATACAAAAGATATAAAATTAAAAATATCAACCATCTTTAAATATTCCAATTCCCCTACAGTGCAGTCTTCCATATCTGCATCACTACTGAATATTTTAAGGAGAAAGTTAACAAAAATCAAAATAGATAAAAATATTTAAATCTTTGGATCCCTTTATTCCATGGCCTTCATAAAAACACAAAAGTGGCCAGATTTTTTTTTTCCACTATAGCTTAAAATATCAAAAAGATTTACTAGTAATTTATAATTAGCAATGAACTCTATACTGAGTCATCTGGGGGGTGGGGGGTCACAGGCCCCAAGGACCAGTGTTACAATATCGTAAGAGTTGCCAAAATAATTTTGAACGCTCTGAATTCTCTTGAAATATAATGGAATGAGTCAAGGTATCACGACAAAATTCCAGGCATATCAGGGAGAACAGGTTAGTTGTTACCTAGTTTTGATGTCTTAAAAAAGGGGAAGTTACTTATTTGAAAATACAGCTAAGTACATTCTTATCTATGATTATTTACATTCATATACTGAAAATATCTATTATTTGGACAAATCCTGTGATATGCCATTTGCTAAAAAATGACGTTCTTATAATTGAATATGAGTAATTTATCTTTTTAGATAATGGAAGAATGTACCAAATCTTTATGTTTTAAACATCAAAAAAAAAAAAATTAAAATTAAAAATCTTGCACTTGGAAAGCTATGAAAAAAGGCCCACCCATATTTTGCTCCTCAGCACACCAACTTCTGCAAGGACACAGTATGTTTGCTGACTTTAAAATGTTTATTCTTTAAAAAATTAGTTGCTTTTTATACAGCTATACAAAGTCCTTAATGTTTCTTTGGCAATGGAATATAATGGAATTTTACAACTATATAAAAAAGTTACCTTTGCCTAAGAAACAGTATTTACTGTGTGTACATAGTTGACTGACAAAATTCTCTACCATCCAGCACCCTAATTAATTGATGAAATAAGCTATCTCAAAGGGGATATTACAGGATTTCCAAAAAGAAAGAGAAAGATATAGACACACACACACATACACACACACACACACAACCTCCTGTGGCTCAAAACACAGTATCACGGCCCAATCTGCAGGCAACTTGCAGTAATTGCCAAATACAATTTAGTGATAAGAAAAATCCTTTCAGTGATGAAAAAATACTTAGAAGTTCCATTGAAGTACTGCTTTAGCTTAACTATACATAAGAAATTACTTAACCTTCTGCTATTCCAAATATATTTAATGCTCAATTTTAAAGATGAGCTTTTCCCCCAAAAGTAACTGCATTGTATCTTTGAAATTAAGCAGAAAAACAAACAAACAAAAAAACCCAGTGCTGGTGACAAATATACAGCAAATTCACTTCTTCATTCTTCGCAAAGACCAAAACCAATTCTCAGGACCGAAGTAGCTAGAAATTCTCCTATTTTTCAAAGGCTTGTTTGTAGACTATGCAGCAACTTTGTTGTCTTTCTAAAAAGGAAAAACAAATTAGTTCATGTTTCAAATTTTTGATTTGTTAGTATTTCTAATAATTTTCAAAGTTAAAGTAGTAGTGTTATGGGCTGGTCTCAACAAGACGGCCTCCCTGAAATACAGGTGTACCCCACTATCTTGGTTGCCATACTAATAATTTTTAAAACAGTGATAGAGCTTACTCATCAAACCTCCTGGTAGGCAAATTCATCAAACACAACAACTGACATCATACTCAGGAGAAGATAAATAAAATCCCTAAGTCTTTGATGTCTTTATTAAGCAATAAAATATTCAGAGAATAAAATAAGTAACATTTCTTTGCAAAATTTTATATAGAAACAATGATTTAGAAATTAATTTTAAAGGATAAGCTTTTATATTTAAAGCAAGCTCTGAAAATTGGAAAGCTGACCAGGAAATTTAAAAAAGTAACCAGGGAGAAAGCAATAAAAATCTCCAGAATCCTCTCTAGCTTCCCAGTGAGCTAAATCCTAAACTAAAGGCCTGAACACAGCACTAGCCTGTGGGGCTTTTGCTCTCCCCAGGACTAGTGGCTACTGCATACTTGCTTTTTATTGCTGATTCTCACCCTGGTGAAACAACTGTTCCTTACATTAAAAACTTAACTTTACCTATGTATACAATGCCAAACCACTTGTACAATGTTGTTAAATGGAAATACAGACGAATGGCATGAGCTGGCACAGAAAGAAATAAGCTAAAGATGATCCCACTGTCCTGTACCAAAGCCAACCTTCGTATGCCCCGCTGTTTGTCTTTTTACCCTTTCAGAAAGCTGTAAGATCAGTTCAGATCTTTTGGTATCCTAAAGCAGTTTTCTGAAAGATTTAAAGAAAAAAAAAAGTGAGACAGAGAGGAGCGAGGTAGAGGGGATGGGAGGAGAAGACACAAGGAGGAAAGGGAGGCAGTACGTGCTAAGTCACTTCAGATGCCTCCTTGTCTCTGACCTCTCTGAAGCAACACAGACTCAAATGGATAGCAACCGGTCTCCCCTTCTATGGTGCTTCACCTTCTTAGCAGCAGCATATAAAGTAGGAGCTTATCCCCAGCTAGATACTCACCCCCCAAAAAAGAAAGAAAAAAGGTACCATTTGGAATAAACTTTTAAGTTTATGTTTCTAACATTATTCTTAAGCAAAATTGGGCCTAACATCAGAGTGTTTAAAAGGAGATTTACAAAGCCATGAGCCTATGTTTATCCATGTTTTCATTAAACAAGATATGCTTATGTTCACCCCAAACTAATGATTCATGTGCTGATACAGCATACAGAACAAAGCCAAGCCTATCACAAGAAGACTGCGGCAAATGCCATCGATGTCCATCTCTTGAAAGTGTTACATGCTGTTTCAGAAATGAGTTTAACTCTTGAAGGTGAATCTACTTATCTAATAGTGATCACTCCCCATGTCTACCTTTAAAGGTATCATACATAATTTTGAAGGTACAGGCTGCAGAGAGGGTGAGGGCTCTAGTGGCAACAGAAGGATTATTCAACTTTGGAATGGACCGTCAAGGGCTAGCCACACTCATGTCAATGGAATAACTTGTTACTTGGCTTACTGGTGGCTGTTTAGATGAAGGAAAGTAACAGTTTTTTACAGACAATATGACAGCTGTTTATTTTTCAAATATCTGAAATACTGTCACAAAGTATATATATGTATATGCTGTGTCTACAAGGTAGAGTTTATACTAATATACTGAAGACACAGGAAAAAAGATTTTCACTCAAATTGGGTGTCTATTAAAACCTAACAATTTGAGTACCCTTGGAGGTGAGGTGCTCTTAGGAAGATGAAGCTCCCAGTCTACAGAATAGGTTTATAGTTTGACCAGGTCAGAAATCTCAGATGATTTCCAATTCTGGGACTCTGGTGATCGTTAAAAGGCAAAACTGTGCAATTCCCTTTCCATAAAAGTCAAAACGGAGGGTCTGAAAGGTTTAACAATTCAATTAAGATCATCAGTAAAGATTACTAAAGACACCTATGCCTGGGGATCGAACTCATGCTACAGTGCCTGCGGATAGCTTCACAGTGCTGAAACTTAACCCCTTGCACCACCAGGGAGGTCCAAAACTAAATATTCTAAATAGGCACGTTTTCCATAGAAATTAAAATTGAAGTTATACAGATACCCTAAAAAAATCCTCTCAAATAAAAGTAAAAATATGTGAGTTTTACACCAACACCGAAGTATGTAATCACTTACCCTATACTCAAAATCTGCAAACTCCCTGCCCCCACGGCCTCCTCTGAATCCACCACGAAATCCTCGAGGGGCTGTGAAGGCACCACCTCTGCCACCGCCACGTCCTCGGCCACCACGGAAACCAAGCCCTCCTCTGCCTCTGTAACCCCCACGACCACGGTTTGGACGAAGTGGGATTCCAAATGTTTCAGCATTTAATCTTCTTTCTTCAGCCCAGGTTGGTCTTCGTTCTCTATTATAAGAATAATCTTTAGCTTATCACATTTTTAAGAACATTTTTCACCAACATTATGTAACGCTAATTCTGAAATTAAGGCTATGTAGTTCCTAAAGCTCAAATAAAAATAAGCATTTTATCTAAGTCATCAAAATCTGTGCCTATAATAGTGAGAATTTATTTGGAAATATGACTGATATCAGTTGCTTGCGAATATAGTTGATAAAAGAAGGTAACATAATTAACCCCCACATAGTGGAAACTCAGACATAATGTGATTGACAACTGACTGACTACCCTCTACTCAGCCATGGCAGAAGAGAAGGCAAAGTCAAGAAACTCTACTTCGGGAAGCTAGGACATGGAAGGTAGGTCCCTGCATTCCCAATACACTCCTGACACAATCTCTGCACCTGATGCCTGTAGCCAAGTGTCTCAATCGCTACAGCCCAGACAATCACTAGGCTTAGACCAATTCCTATACCTATGCGTGTTTAAAATGAAATATTCAACTGCCACCAGATGGCACCAAACTGCAATCAGGAAAAGGACAATTCTGACTGGGCCACACAATGTCTGGAGCTCTTAGCTTGTTATGCTGGGTCCTTTAACTATCCTGACAATTTTTTTTGGCTCACATTTCCTACAATATGGGAGAGTTTTACTATATTGGCAAATTCAAAGTAATAAGTTCTGGACAGGCTTCATTTGAACTACACTGCTGAGAGGAAAAAAGGTCTTATTTAGAGGTCAGGTGAATGCTTCTGTTTTAATTACAACTTTTCAAATATGGCTGTGTCCTTAAACAAAAGTATATCTACTTCTTCTTTTCAAGGACTAATGTCATTAAAAGTTTAGTACAAACTATCTTATTTTAGAAAAATAAAGCATTAAAAGTTGCAGTTATATTTTTAAAGTATTCATTCAACTTTGTGAATTTATAAGGAATGACTTCACACTTCGACATCCCAAAAGCAACTTAAAGGACTATACCTATTATCATCACAAGAAATATTATCAAAGAAGGATTTAGTTTTGTCATAATAGCAATTAGGTCCAAGTGGATCTTCCTCATCAGCATTTCCTTCACTGTTTTGGGTGTCAACTCCAGAGTCTCCTTTATCTTCACCATTTACAGGCTTCTCCTGTTTCTCAAGTTTATCTTCTAGTAAAAAACAAGCATATACCATAAAATTTAAGACCTATATTGAACATCTACAACTCACAAATCAAGTAAGATCATTTTCTGAGTAGAAAAAAATGAAAACTCACCTTTCAATTTAAGTTTATTATGAAACTCCCTGTCAATTTCCTCCTTGTTAAATTGTGCATTCGCACTTTCAAAGTCAAAGTCTTTCTCAAATTTCATTGGACCATCTCGTCGAATACCAAATCTTCCCCTGCCGCCTCGATGACCTCCACGCCCTCTCCTCGGAGCTGAAGGAGCACCCGGAACTATGTTGAAAAGGAATAAGCTAGTTTAGGACAGAAGCTATTACTGTGGTCTTTATATTAAATGGGCAACAAAAGAAATGCTTATAAGTCTTTATATATACTATACTTTTAATATAAAAAAAGGAAGTTTTACTAACATTTAATATACAAACTGACAATAGCACACACGAAATCAACACTTATGTGATCTACACTCTTATGTTCCTGACTACACAGACAATCTGGGGGACTTCTGCACTAGAAATTACCATATACCCCTGGAGGTTAGGGGTTTCATTTTCCTTACTGCTTGATATCACTAATACAAAGTGCTGAAAACATAGCAGATTCTCAAAATATAGGAAGTCTTATGAAAAAGATCATAGGAATCAAGCTTTATAATAAGTAAAATGAAGGAACACTAATTGGCACAAGTTGCAAAATAGGAGGTGGTTTATTTCCCCAACAGATAACACAAAAGACAAAAAGTACCAGTTCTCAGTCATCCCAACCACTTCCTACTTCATCTTTACTGTCCTCGAAGTGGCTCCTTATTCAAGTCTTCCTGTATCTATTCTCTACTACATAAAACTGTGGAACACGGTAAGAGGATGTATGAGGTATAATAATAGCAGTCCAAAGTAGCATAAATTGTAGTTAAAACACAAGATCTGAAATATCCAACACAGGAGGAATAGTACTGAAGGAAAAAACAAGAGGAACAATGCAATAGTTTTTGACTCTAATTAAAAAAATACAGAGCACAAAGCAGTATGAATTCAGTAATTATTTGAAATATTTAACATATACCGAGCAAGGTCAGAAATGATTAGAGTTAACAGACAGATTTATGTTCACTATTGGCTGAAGTCTGGTAAACTGTGCAAACATGAGAAAACAACTCAAAAAATCCACAGCAGCATAACCAGACACTTAAATCTAAATAAGCAAGAGCTTTAAAGCACTCAATTTTTCTATTAAAGATGTCTGGCCACAAGCCAGGAAATACAACATGATCCTTTCATCTTTAAAAAACAAAAAAAAAAAACAACAACTGTTACAGTATAGTCTATGTCTGCAAAATCTTATGAAGAAAATCTGAAAGAATGGTCACTGTTCTGTTAATGAACCTCTGGGATATGAATTTTGAAGTGCAGTAAAAGCCACTTTTATTTATTTCTGTGATTTTAAAATGAGGGAACTATGGCAATTATTTTGAGAGGAGTTCTCCTTTTTTCCAAATTAAAAAAAGTGAAATAGAAAAATCAGACCCAAAACTCTGTATTCTATGTCACAAAGGACAAATAAACACATAAAAATGGGTAAGAGAATTAATATACTTGTAAAAATACATCTAACTTTCTAAAATTAAACAAAAAATCACTTTCCAAATGTGAAGTGATTGTATACTGCCATTACTTTTTTGTTTTTTAAAGTTTATTTACGCATACAAGAACTGGGGTGCAGGCCAGAGGTGTGTGTGGGGCGGTGGTGGTGAGAGGATTCACCAGAGAGAAAGTGGGGAGCAGAACAGGCAGATTGACTGAAATACACTGCTGAGGGGAGCAGAAGGCAAGACAGGAGAGGAGAGGTCTGCTGCACCATGTGGGTATCTCCCTGGCCGGGGATTGAACTCACGATGTAGTGGCTGGCAATAGCTTGACAGCACTGTGTCTTTAACCCCTGTGCCACCAGGGAGGCCCCTGCCTTTACTTTTTAATTGGGAAGTTTTAATCTATATACCTTACTCATAAATTTGAAAAGATCAAAAAACAATTTGGGGAGTAAATATTAGAAATTATAAGACAGAAATAGAAAGTAAGTACACAGTATTATAAATCAGTAACTATGAAAAGTTAAAATTCTTGAATAATTCAAATAAAGGCTTAAGGTTTATTAAATAATTTTAGTAAGAAAACTTCACATGTTAAGGTATAGACAATTTCATTTTTAAAAGCATAGAAAACAATGAAAGCAATTTTATAATACTAACATGAAACTCAAATAAAAACATTAAAAAGGGATATAGAGATCGAGGAAACACAAAGTATAAATGTATAAAATCCTAACTAACGAATAACATTCAGGGTTATATTAAAAGCCAACTGCCTACTATGAGTTATAGTTTAGTGCAGAAATGTGGCAATGATTTAATAAAAATAAAAAAACGCTTACTTTAAAACAGACACACAAAAATACTGAAAAAATAGTAGAGAGGTTCTATGTGCTCATTACCCAGCTTTCCTTCCAAAGTAACAGCTTATCTAACTAGTGTACATTATCAAAACCAGGAATTCAACACTGGTACATTATTACACTACAGATCTCATTAAGATTTTAAGAGGGTTTTTTTTTTTGGGAGGGGGGAGACTATGTATGCAGTTGCAGTGTATCTTCATGTTGTCCTGTCACATATATACGTGAAATACCAATATATACATCCATACAACCACCTTCATTAGCAAAGTAAAGAACTAGGCTGTTACCACACGGAATGTCCCTGTGCTACTCTTATAATAACCAACCTTTGTCATCCTTTTTTTTTTTTGGATAGTAATTGTGCATCATACATTTAAAATAGGCTGCTGAGATGTACAGGACATGGCTTTCAGATTCAAGTAACTTACCTATTTGTCTCTTGTTGTCATTTCTGAGTTGCTCATTTTCTGGTCTTGAAACTTTGTGTACTTCAGCTATAAGAGAAGATATACCAAATGACAAATCAGGTCAGGACACATAATCAAAAACTTCGGTAAAGTAAAAAATGGAGGGAAAAACCCCAAAACAAAACCAAAAAAATCTATACCCCCACCACCATCACTACTTTGAGTCAAATCTGAAAGCATATTGAACAATCTATCAAGTTCAGCTTAAACTTTCTAGTACCATTCATGTAAAGTAAATCTTTTTAATGAAAATAAGGTGAATGGAAAATGCTGATCAGTCAATTAAGTAATAGTAAATAGCTAAAGTTCTACCTCGCCTGTGCTCTTGATTCTCTATTGCTTTTTGGCTGGTAGATGGTAAAGGCCTGGATGATACAGGGCTCCTTCTCCCAACAGGTGCCGGAGCAGGTAAGTGGGCCGAGGCGGTCTGTACTGCTTGTTCCATGGTTGGACTTTTTCTCAAAGGATCTAACTGAGGGCTTGAACGACCTAAAACGTAACCAAAAGATAAGAAACTACCCTATCCCTGGGGATTTCAAAATAATCTAGACCCTAAAATGTCTAGAATCTCTACCAATTTCATCCTGAGCACAAATTTGAATTCTTTTACTTATTAGAACAGAGTGTAAAACTGATTATTTCGAGTGGGTTGGTCACTGTTAGTAAAGGAATGTCTAAAAACAAAACAGAAGAAGATCCAAACAAAGAATACTCAGCTTTATCTGGAATCTACCTGGTAGAATAAGGCTTAAGAAAGTTTTTCAAAAATGGATCCTGGTATAAGATTTCTCCGAAATGATCAAGATTTTGCCGCTGCAGGTGAGAAGCAGGTTTTCCCCCAACCACCACAACAAGGTTATATTGACACTTCAACCATTATTTCCAGAGACTAACTTGTTTAGTACTTTCTGAAGATATGTCTCAAGTGATACCTCTAACCTATAGGTATTATCTCCATTAACTGTCTACTGAAAGTTAGGTAAAGTTTTTCACTAGCTTTGGTGGTCTGGATAATTAAACGTCAATACTCAAAGTAGGCAACAAATAAACCCTTCAGATAACTGCACAGTAATAACACTCATTCCTTGCTATTTGATTCTTGGCAAGTTTTTACTTAGTATGTTTTTACTACTTATAAATTCCATTTTTCCCTCTTAGAGATCAGAGCCTGGTCATATTCAGTGCTCCGATCATGCTCTTTGTCCCTATATATAACATTCTCTGTAAATCTCTACTTAGCCCATGATATAGCACTAAAATGTTTTAAAAAATTATGCTCATTTTATATAAAAATCTATTTATATAAAAATCATATTCCCTAACGTGTTGCAAAAGTTACTACCCACTTGTGCAAATAAATTTGCACAGACCCCAAATAGTGAACCAGCACGTGCCCATGATGCACTGATGGTGGTGCACTAGATGCTTTGGGGACTATTGACAACATCCCCCAAATTCAGTTTTCTAATTACAATGTGTGTCACCATTCCAGTCATTATGCCAAAATTTTCTCTGCCATTAAGAAACAATGCAATTTTTCCATTGATTGTAATGGGAAATCATGGTGGTTTATATAGTCTAGGCTTAAGAGAAAATACTTTGTAAATACGTATCACCTTATAAAGTGATTTATTTATAAAAGTTAATTTTTTTTAAAAGTCTATTGCTTAGTTTCACACTACATGAAATTATGTTTATAAAATTTACTTCATTTTTTTAAAAAGACTTATTTATTTATTTATTTATACAAGCACTGGGCACAGTCAGAAGCACGGGAGGGTGAGCGAATTCACCAGAGCCATAGCTGGGGGCAGAACAGGCAGAAGGACCAAAGTACACTGCTGAGGGGAGCAGCGGGCGGCAGGAGAGGTCTGCGTGCCATGTGGGACCCTCCTCCGGTGGCCGGGGAGCAGCCGGGGATCGAACTGGCGCTGCAGAGGCCGCAGGCAGCTTCGCAACCCAGCGCTCAACCGCTGCGCCACTGGGGAGGCCCCTAAAATTTACTTCATTAAGGTTTTTCTTTGAGAAAAAAACCCTGTGACTCGCAAGTATTACTAGAACCACAATTAATAGGGCAATCACAGCAAGCATTTCTTTGGGCCTTTAAAAACCTTTTAATTAGAGTTGACTAGTTATGATAATAATTTTATTATAAGTAAGGAAATATAGGTAATACTGGACACACATACCATTAGGAAAAACCCAACATATTTCAGTATAATAAAAACACATCTCCTTGAACCACCTTCAAATTTTTATACAGGTAATCTACATGCTTTAATTGTATAAAACTGAGAAATTTTAGTTGGTGAAATCGACATGCAGATTCCCAGGCCCTTTCTGCCATGGCCTTATAAATATACCTGTCTTCTCGTAAATATGTACTTATATTAAAAAAAAAAAAAATCAACCTATTTAAAATTTATTTTAGCCCTAAGTATGAGGGATGAAATCTAGTTTATTGTTCCCAAATGATGGGGTAGTTGTCTGTCCCAATGTCATTTACTGCATAGTCTTTATTAATTAAAAAAATCTTTATCATGTACTAAACAATTTTTTAATTAAAGATTTATTTTTTTTTATGTATGCATACAAGAACTGGGGTACAGACCAGAGGTGTGGGGGTGGTGGTGAGAGGATTCACCAGAGAGAGAGAGTAGGGAACAAAACAGATTGACTTCATCCTCTTCAACCCCAACACCAAGAAGATATCCTTTTCCCTCTTACTTTTCATCTTTATCCTATATCTAATGACAGCTTTCCCCCTTCCATGTTTGACTTGTGATTTTTCTATCATTGCTATTTTAAGCAGTCAGTAAATATTTTTAAAAAGTCAAAAGAAAACAAAAAAAAATGCTAATACACATAATAAAGAGGATAGTTGAACCACTGGGTAGTAAAGAATAATGTATATGTTATTTAAATTAGTAAGAGATCTGGGATGAAGTTTTGAGAAAACACGTATCTTGTAAAAGAATTGGACAATGGAAAATGAAGACAATTGTGAAAAAGATTACTATGATTTGAATATAAACCTTCCATTATACAAACATTAAAAAAACAAACAAAACAAAACACAGATCGACTTCCATCAGTGCAGCAGTGAGCGAGACAGGAGAGGTCTGCTGCACCATGTGGGTAGCTCCCTGCCCGGAGATCAAACTCATGCTGCAGTGGCTGCGTATAGCTTCACAGTGCTGCATCTTAACCCCTTGCACCACCATGGAGGCCCCATGTACTAAATAATTTATACTTGGGTCTTTTTCTGACTTGTTCCATTCATCTAAATTTATTCCTGCAATACTTCATTTTATAGAAACTTCTTAACAAAAGTAGGTAAGCCCTATCTTATTTTATTTTTCAAGTATGTTTAACTACAAGCTTGTGTTTAAGGAATAATCTGTGATTCGGTTTCATTAAATTCTCCTATTCCATTATTGAAAATATAGTAGAAACAATTAAAATGAAAGTAAAATCTTCTCAATATCGTTATCTTTGTACTTAGGAAGAAGATAGGCTTCTCCTATTACATATGATTTCTTTCATGTTCTGCCTACATTTTATATTTTTCAATCAGAGGTTGGACATATTTCTCATAATGTATTTTATACATCATTTCTGACTGGTTATTGTAACAATATCTTTTATTCCCATTACATAACCAGTGGGTTAGGTGTTAGAACAACGATGTATTTTTGTATATTTACTTTACAATTCAAGTCCCTCATTAATTCTAGTTTTTTCCAATGATCTTAGTTCCAAGCAGAAAATCACAGCATTGGTAAATAATGCTAATTTTAAAATTTATGCCTCATTTCTTTTTCATGTGTTCCTGACTTAGCTAAAATTTTTAGAATGATGCAGATTAGCAATGATAACATGCACTCTTATTTATGATTTTAATAAAAATTCCCCCTGTGCTTCAATATTAAGGTTAATGTTGGCTACTGTTAAGATAGCTAACATCTACTAAGCATGTTCTATGTATTAGACATTGTGCTAAGGAGACTGCAAACATTTAAAAAATTTTAAATCTCCAAAATGATGTCTGTTAGTTAACAGCAAAGTCTGATTTTTAGTTTTAAAACTAAAGTATTATTTTGAAACTAGTGCTTAAAGAGTATTTCAACCATAAAGAATTCTTTAAAAAACAAAACCAAACCCAATAGTTGAAATTAATGTAAAAATAGTAACTATGACTATTTCAAAATATCTAAAGTGAGATAATGTTTAGTATTGGCTTGATTTTATCCTCAATGATTTAAAAAATACTGTTCTGTAATTATGACATCTTTCTAAAATGATTTTATTTTTTCAGTTAAATGCAAGCATCCATGTAAAAGCAACGAGCCAATAACATCCGCTTTAGTACAGACAAAAATGGATCTTAGAATCAGTGGAGGTCATGACTGGCTGGTGGAAAAACAGAATTATAAAAATGAAACAGGATCCTTCACAAAGCCTATTATAAAGCAGATAGATCACCAAGCTCCAGGATTCTGATCTAGCAGTTTTCAGGATCTACATTTTTAAGCAGCTCTCCAGATGATTTGGCTGTGGGTGGCTCACGCTGAGAACCAATGCTCTAGATTTTGTGAGAAGAGGTTAACAGCATCATGGATGGTTTGTTTTTTCAGTTGCTATTTCAAATTCATTACAAATAGTTCATTCTCAGTGGCAAGTCTGGGAGTGATCTGATATATTTAAGTATTATATCCAAGTTATATAATGGTCTTGTAAAAAAAGTCAAACTTAGAGAATGTCCACCATTTCGGATTTATGATCTAAGAATTGTAAAATGTCTAATTAGTGAAAGCCATTCAATAATATACTTATTGCAATCGCAATTAGAGAAATTTTCAGAAGAACCAAACAGAAATGTGATTTACGATCTGCAAAAGTTCTTCTATTCAGAAAAAGACAAAACCACTGTAGATAATTAGAATGGAAATATTTAAAGGAAAAGAAACCAGCTTACCTTGAGATGGTTGTGTTTTCAGAGATCTTGTATCTTGTGTAAAGGCAGAACCAACTGCACTACTTTGGGATAGGGGGCCACTGTTTGATGTTTCTGCTCCAAATGATGTCAAGGAGCTTCCAGCTTTAAGAAATTTTTAACGACAAAAAATTAAAAAACAAAGAAACACCCCCCCGAAAACCTTTAAAATCTCTTGATTATATAAAGCAATGTACCATTTCAATGATGGTAACTGCTGTTACCTACACATTTAAACAAATCAACTGTCCTAGAAATTAACTGAAGTTCAACAAGCAATAGTTTGAGAAATTTTTGACAGTATTAGAGAAAAAGGCAAGTCAATATAGACTCTACCATCACTGGGTGCAAATAACTTTTGTAACATATGCAATACTGGTCTAGGCAGTTCTACTGATGTGTCAGCAAGGATTCATGTCAGCTAGAGAAGGAGCAAAAATGGTACATTCTACACCAATGTTAAGGTTTAATTATTTTAATACCAAGTATCTGCATGAACAGCTGACTCAGCAGAATGATCTAGGAAGAAGTTTTCCACCATTTCCAAGGCAACAGACAATGGACTGCAATGTTCCCTGCCATGAGGAAGGTACGGTGGGTGCATTTTGCCTAAAGCAACCACAAAATGTTCTGGTCATATGAGTAACACAACTCCTAAAAATGGTTTTGATTCTTTGCCATGCTAGGTTATGTCAATCTTCTCTTAGTTTCTATGGCACTTATGGGACTATTCATTTTTCGTAGGCTGTGCTTTCTTCTTAGCATTTTCTCTAGCAGTACCAATTTTAATAGTCCTTTCCTAACCTCTAAATCCAATCTGAAGATGGTAGTCAGGATAATCTTTTATGAAAAACAAATATTACCACATTACTACATTGCTTAGGGGCCTTTGACGGCTTTCCACAACCCTCAAGATAAAAGTTCAAACCACTTACACCTCAGTTTATAAGTTTTCTCTTATCTGCTTACCTCTTTTATCAACTTCCCTGTTTCCACCAGCTCACTCCATCTCACAGCAGTTTACCCATCTTAAAATATCTAAACATTATGATCACATTCCCCAGAATTTTCTCATTTCCAGGCTAGGCAACTCCAATTCCACCAACCAGCATTCACCCTTATATGGTCTTTAGCCCCACTCCCACTTTTGACTCTTCTTGTTCATATTCCTTTTCAAAGAGCATCAGAACACAGTATGGTACCCCAGACATTGAGAAATCACTGGGCTCCCTTACCTACGCACTCTACTCAGGCTGTAGCCCCAACCAACCCAGGAGGCTTAACATAACCTCGCACAACATCCCCAGAAATGCTGGGAGTAGTACTTTCAGTGATTCTGTGGGAAGCTGTATCTATCCTTTTATCACTAGTAAAACTGGCAAATGACCAAGACACAAGCCACTCTGACATGTATTCCTATCTCCACATGGCTCTGTGTTAGTTTACTGATTCAACCTCTCACTGCTTGCCTCTAGTTAGCAAACTCTTCTGTATCTCCCATGTCTTCTCTTGAATTCATGATCATACCACACCCACTTTCTCCACCCCAATTCCACCACAGATTTATCTGAAATCAGTTTACATGGATGGTGTGAGGCAAGGTGCAAGGTTAATTTTTTCCAAATAGATCTAGCTGTTGCAACATCTGTTAACTCAAATGTTTTATAGATATTAAGTCATGCAAACTTTACAGTAATGCAGGAAGTGAGTAAAGTAATAATAACAATATTAGTCAATTATTCGATTTCCTGAAAGGAGTCTCAAAAGGAAATTATAATTTGCAACAACCCCTTATTTCAATCCTTAGGATTCTAACAGTGATAGCTACCAGAGAATATATCTTGCTTAACCTGTCTAATGCACACTGGTCTCACTACTTGAACAGGAATAGGAGCTACATGGACCAAAGCTACAGTATCTATTTCACCTAGCTAAGAAGTTTAAAATGAACCAACTGTTTAAATTTTTAATTTTGAAAAGTCAAACCTATGTCAAAATTGAAAGCACACTCTGAATACTAGCATATTCCTCATCTACTCACCAATTGCTAACATCTTGCCATACCTATTCTGTTTCTTCATCCAAATAAAAAAAAAAAAAAGTAAACTAAAAACCAAATAATCCACCCATCTCTTTCTCACTCCCTATTTCTGGCAACTACCAATCTGTTCTCTGTACAGACATGCATTGCTTGATGATGGGATACCGTCTGAGAAATGCATTGTTGTTAGGTGATTTCATTGTTGTGTGGATGCCAGAGTGTAATTAAACGTACCTAGATGGTATGGCCTACGATACACCTACACTATATGGTATACCCTATTGGAAACACCATAGTATTTGTTGTCTGTTAAGTAAATATCAAAGAGCTTTTTTTTTTTTTTTTTAATAAACATACATATAAAATTCCACATATAAGAGAGATCACACAGTATTTGTATTCCTCTGATTTATTTCACATCCATGTTGTCACATATGGCAAGATTTCATTCTTTTTTACAGCTGAGATAAAATTCCAATTATATATATTTACACCACAATTTCTTTATGCACTTATTCATAGAAGGATTTTTAGATAGTTTTTAAGTCTTGGCTATTATAAATAATGCTGCAATGAACATGGGGGTACAGATTTTTTTTTTTTTTCAATTTTGTGTTTGTTTCCTTAGATAAACACCCAGAACCAGATTTCTGGATCATATGGTAGTTCTATATTAAATTTTCTGAAGAACCTTCACATTGTTTCCCATAGTGGCTGCACCACTACGTCCTACCAAAAATGGACAAGGGTCCCCTTTTCTTTACATCCTTGCCAACATCTGTTATTTATACATATATTTGATAATAAATACTCTAACACATGTAAGGTAGAATCTGGTTTTTGCATTTTCCTGATTAATGATATAGAAAATCCTTTCATGTACCTGCTGGCTGTCTGCATGTCTTCTCTCTTCTGCCCATTTTTGAATTGGAGGGTTTGTTTTTTTTGCTATTGGATTGGGGGAGTTCTTTGTTTCGGATAGTAGCCCTTACCAGATATATGATCTGCAAATATTTTCTCCTATTCAAAAGGTTGTCTTTTCATTTTATTGATAGTTTGCAGTGCAGAGACTTTTTAGTTTGATGTAGTCCACTTATTTTTAGCTCTTGTTGCTTCTTTTGGTGTTAGATTAAAAAAATTATCACCAAGACAGGTGTTAAGGAGTTTTCTGCCTAGGTTTTCTTCTAGGCGTTTATGGTTTCAGATCAAGTCTTTAATCTACTTTAAGTTAAAATTTACATATGGAATAAGATAGGCGGCCAGTTTCATTTTTTTACATTTGGCTGTCCAATTTTTCTAACATCATTTATTGTAAAGACTGTCCTTTCCCTATTATACAATCTCTGTTGCAGATCAACTGGCCGTCTATTTGTGGGCTTATTTTCTGGGCTGTTTTGTCCCATTGATTTCATGTCTGCTTTTATGCCAATATCATACTGTTCTAATTACTACAATTCTGTAACATAGCTTGAAACCATGAAGTGTGATAAGAGCTTCATTCTTCTTTCTCAAGATTTCTTTGGCTATTCATGGTCTTTTTTATTTCCATACAAAATTTAGGACTCTTCCATTTCTGTGAAAAATGCTACTGGAATTTTTATAGATTGTACTGAATCTATATACTGTTTTGGGTAATAGTGACTTTCTTAAAAAAAGGTCTTATTTTATTAATTTATGCATATAAAAACTGGGGTATAGGCCAGGGGTGGGTGGTGAGAGAATTTACCAGACAGAGCAGACAGCAGAACAGGCAGATCAACTGAAATACACTGCTGAGGGGAGCAGCAGGCGAGACAGGAGAGGTCTGTTGCATCATGTGGGTCAGCTTCCTGGCCGGGGATGGAACTCATGCTACAGTGGCTGTGGGTAGTAGCTTCATAGGCTGAGACTTAACCCCTTGCGCCACCAGGGAGGCCCCAAGGCAGTACTGGCTTTTAAGCAATATTAATTCTTCCAAGCTGAGAGTATGGAATATCTTTCCATTTATTTACGTCTTCTTCAATTTTTCCATTAATATCTTACAGTTTTCAATATATGGGATATATCATGAACATTTCTTCATGACTAAAGACTGCATTTTCATCAAGAACACTACAGAGGTAAAGCTGTATATGCCTCTCCCCTACCTAGGCCTTGTACCATAATGCCAGCAGACATATAATAATTTAATTATGGTAAGCCAAATGATGATTCTGAACAAGATGGAGACTACCAGGGCTCATCATTATAAAGATGTAGTCTTTCTCTTCATAATTAATTCTTATATTTAAAAACCATTATTCATTCACTCAATGATTTTAGCACCTGCTGATAATCCTCATCATTACACTAGAGACTGTAAAATGGCGAGTCTTTATATACACCATTCCTTCTATTTATTGGCTGGAATTTTTCTGTTTAATGAGTATTGCTTCCCCTTCATTTATTAAGGAGTCCTGGTTCCTTTCAGTGGGAATGGCCATTTAGAAATCAAGAACTGGGCCTCCCTGGTGGCGCAAAGGGTTAAGACACTATCCGTAGCCACTGCAGCACGAGTTCAATCCCCGACCGGGGAGCTGCCCACATGGTGCAGCGGACCTCTCCTGACTCGGCCGCTGCTCCCCTCAGCAGTGTACTTCAGTCAATCTGCCTGTTCTGTTCCCACTCTCTCTGGTGGATCCTCTCACCCCCCATACCTCTGGCCTGTACCCCAGTTCTTGTATGCATAAATAAATCTTTAAAAAAAAAGAAATCAAGAACTATGTTTACATATGTTCTTTGCTACTGGGTATCACTGCTTTTAAGCCCCATCTATGAACAGTCAGAAAATAACCAGATTTGGGCCTCCCCGGTGGCGCAGTGGTTGAGCGTTGGGTTGCGAAGCTGCCCGCAGCTTCTGCAGCGCTAGTTCCATCCCCGGCTGCTCCCTGGCCACCAGAGGAGGATCCCACATGGTGCACAGACCTCTCCTGCCGCCCGCTGCTCCCCTCAGCAGTGTACTTTGGTCCTTCTGCCTGCTCTGCTCCCCGCTCTGGCGAATTCTCTCACCCTCCCGCGCTTCTGACTGTACCCAGTGCTTACATCAATCAATCAATCAACCAATCTTAAAAAAAAAAGAGAGAAAGAAAGAAAATAACCAGATTTTAAGAAATGAGTTCATCCTCATAAGTCTAATTTGCAGTGAACACTTCAGGGTTCCACTTTACCTTTCGTTGATTCATATATGTAGCTCCCTTTTCCACAATAAGAATATCATTTTGCAATAACACCAATACATTACTTATTTGCCCTATAAAAGTTTCAAAATTGGCAAAAGCAGTAATACCATAAGTCCTAAATCAGATTTTATTTACAGTTCTATTTGTTCTTACAATACATTCTACACCAAAAGTAAAAAAGTTACTTGAGCTAATTCTATTTTTTTGTGTGGTTATCAATTTGATATATAGTTAGCACCAGTTGTTTCTGTTGTATTCATTCACTTTAAGGATTTGCTTTATTCTCCATCCTTTTTGTTTGTGAATAAGTAAAATATTTACATTATTGAAAACTCACAGCATTATTAAAAAAAATATATATACACACACAAAGAATTAATTTTAACAAAACTTGTTACCACACTGAGTTTCAAGATACACTTGAAATTGGATTTGTGATTTAGTGAAAGAAAATAAACTGATAAAAGATTATTTCAATGGAACAAGAAAAGACTAAGGGCTAGAGATTTAGATTCAAAAAGTTATTCTTTACTATGGGACTCTCAATAAAGATGTACTTAAGAGCTAAAATTCACAGCTATAAAAACAAAATAACATAAGCTCATCTGATTACATCCAGCTTATGCTAGGATCATTTAATCATTAAAAGGACTGTAACTAGTCCATTTTCCCTGTACGTTCTTCTGACATTGTTATGTTTTTAAAACTCTGTTAAAAGCACCAATGTGATATATTTGAGTATCTCTCACAGGTGATGCTAAATGAGATGTTTCACATTTCATGTAATATAATAAATACTCATTGGCATCACTAGTTCTTAATAATAATGGCTTTATCTCCAATTCCCTTTGGGAAAATCTATTCTGTGTGAAGAAAATGCTAATTTTAAATGAATGTCTTATGCAAATTTAAAATAACATTCAATGAAATTTAGTAATATGATATATCTAAGTTTTTTATTTTTTTATTATTTTATTTGTTACATCATTTTCATTTTTGCACAATGTATGTGTCTTCATTTTGGTTATAGTCCCCATACAATTACACACCCCCTTATTTTGACCCTAATCCTTCCTCCTCTTCTCCCCCCCACCCCTAGTGTGTCTCTGGTTTATAGTTGCTTGTTGACTTTTTTTTGTTTTTAAAGATGACCTTTAGAGAACCATTATACTCATTAAAGACTTTAATAGGCTACAAAAGGAACATGAAACAATAGGTCTGAAAGTTTGTGTTTTAAAGTATCTTTGTGGTAAAGATGGGGAAATTACCAAAAAAAAAAAAAAAAAAAAAAAAAAAAAAAAAAAAGAGAGAGCGAGCGAGCGAAAGAAAAAGTACAACATACCAACGCCAACAGCACCAAACTGCTGCCCAACTAATGAACTTGGACTGAACTGACTGTATGACGGCATCCTGCCAAAAGGTCCATAGGAACTCACTGACTGGAATGAAGAAGTAGATGAGCCTAGTGAAGACTGAAAAAAGGTCATGGGTTATTCTCCCGGGCTTTAAATGACACATGTATTATGGAAAGAAAATCAGACATTTACACTTCTAACCAATCTATTGAATTGCATCTACCATGCACACAGAGCAGTTATAACAACTTAGAATATGCACTAAACAGTTGAACCACATTCTGATTTCTGTATTTGTACGCTTGTGCCAAGTATACTCAAAGTGATACACACTTTTTCAACAGTAAATTCCTCCTTTAATAAGAGTTTTATAGTAGATTTATGAAAGAAGTTACTCAAGTAACTTTGCTTAAAGAAAAAAATATAAAAAAAGGGCATTTGGTTGGCCTGAGTTTTTTCTGGTGCTTGCCACAAATGAGACATCTCATTTTTTATTTTACTCTTATTCCTAATCATCTGTATATACCATTAAACTTATAAGAAAGAGATGGAGAAGCAAACATCACATGCAAAACCATTTACATTTTTATCACTAAGTTAAAGGACATTTATACAAATTTAGAATAAAATTTACAAAAATTTTAACCTACTAAGCCTAAAATATTAATATATATACATGTTTTAGGCTTAGTAAGTTAAATGAAATATTTCCTATTATAAATATAAAGTGTGCTAAGGCAACCATAATAAGCTCAACCCATTACAGGACTTTGTGAGTTCACTCCTAGTGTTAGAACCTGGCACCTACTCAGTAAATGCTACTGAATAAATGAGTCAAAAGATCATAAGTCCAAATTATTGTGACTGGAAGAAGTTATGTAACACCATTTTCATTTGTGCTCTTGGTTTTTCTCATTCTTAATGCTGATTACTTAAGTAACTGGTTCCCTGAAAAATTATCAGTTTATCATTCTTATTAGTAAGTTATTTTATATTCAGAAAAAAACAGAAAATATTAATAGGTTCTTTCTCTTTTCCTATTTTAATTTTTTTTAAGTTTTATTTTTATTTATGCATACAAGAACAGGGGTGTAGGCCAGAGGTGTGGAGGGGTGAGAGGATTCACCAAAGACAGAGAAGGGAGCAGAACAGATAAAGCAGAGTTACTGAAATAACTGCTGAAGGGAGTAATGGGCAAGACAGGAGAGATCTGCTTCACCATGTGGGTAGCTCCCTGGCTGGGGATCGAACTCATTCTGCAGTGGCTGGCGATTAGCTTTATAGTGCTGATACTTAACCCCTTGTGCCACTAGGGAGGCCATTCCTATTTTAATTTTTATTTTCATATATATATTTTATTTATATACATTTTACATCATTGTTCATTTTTAAACAATGTTTGCTTTTTTCACCCCCCTCAGTGTGGTCCCCATAGAATTTCCTTCACCAATTCACCTGTGCACCATCACCACAGTCCCCTGTGCTTCTCCCTCCTTCCCTCCAATTCCTCTTCCTCCTCTTCCCCTGCCTATTTTAATTTTAGATACAATTTAACTTTTCTTTAGATGAATTCATGAGGCATTTTTTTAAACAGCTGGAAGACAAATCCTACACAAAATAATACATATCTTGGGACTCTATTTTGTGTAAAGATTTTATGACTCACACCATTAAAAGGAGAAAGTTAATTGAAAATAATCTAAAAATATTACATTGGGGCCTCCCTGGTGGCCTAGGGGTTAAGTATTAGCACTGTCACTGCTGCGCCCTGAGTATAATGCCTGGCCAGGGAGCTAACCCACATACGGAGCAGGAGACCTCTCCTGTCTCACTGCTGTTCCCCTTAGCAGTGTGTTTCCATAAATACGCCTATTCTGCTCCCCACTGTCTCTGGTGAATCCTCTCAACCTCCTGGCACCTCTGGCTTACACCCCAGTTCTTGTATGCATAAATAAAATCTTTTTAAAAAAAATTATTACATTGCTTAAAAACAAACAAACAAACAAACCCAACAAGTATACTTTTGTGCAATAAGCAAACAAATATTTCTAACAAGAAAAAAGGTTGAGAAGAAATAGATGTAGGAGGAAAACGGGGGGGCTCACAAACCTTTAATCAGCTAAACCTCAAATAAACCTGTATATGAACCTGCTTCTTCTGCTGTGATTGCTGAAATTCAGATTCTCAATATGCTTCAAATGAACATATAAACATATACCATAATAGACAATTCATAATTCAACTTTTAGACATCAAGTGTTTCTGTTTTTAATAAAATATACCAATCTCTTTAATGTCTTACTGAGGATATGTATGGTGATTTTTAATACCTGATTTAGGAAATTGAATAACATTATCTATACACATTAAATCCTTGTGAGATCTTACATAATATTGTTTATATATGTGATTGAGCTTTTTGAAAAAAATTAAATCCAATATTAAGAGTAGCCATTATCACTCGTTTGTAATATGAACCACATATGAATAATACAGCAGCACAGATTCTGGAGGCAGAATGCCTGGGCCTGTTCGAATTGTGGTTCTAGCTCAATTTCTTCACTTATGAAAATGAGAATTATGGTACCAAGTTAGGAGAGTGCTTGAAAATTGATTTATTACAGAGTGTTTCTTAGACTTCAATAAATGTTAACTGTTTAACCCTTTTTGAAATTAGACAATATTTTATAATAAAATAAACACCTCAGCTTTTACCTTATTTAGTTCTGACTTAGGATTTAAAGAGAAAACCCCACAAGGAAAAACAAAGGAAAAAAGAGAAACAGCTAAATGAAGATGTTATCTAGGTATCCTGGTAACTAGGAAATGTTTTAAATTTGATGAACTTTCAATTGAGAAAACAAAAACAAAAACCCATAAGTCAAGGCTTGCCAAGTACATGAAGTTTCTTCCCATTCCAGGTCAAACTCACTATCAGTTACCTGAACAATGGCTGGATCCTGAGGCAAAGAACATTGTGGTTTTGGTGGCTCACAAACAGTGAGATCTTTAATATCGCTTCCACGGAATATAATGTATTCAAAGACTTCATCTCGAGGTGGTATTGGACGATCTGTTGGTCTGTCTTCTGTACCAAAGGACCGAACTGGTGAGAAAACAGAAGAATTTATCACATTCAGGCAGTGCCTCTTGTAAGTGTTCTGTCCCAAGCATGAAGCAGCAGTTCTTATATGTCACCCAGAGAAAGCACGCATTAATCTGTAGCTGAACAGATCTTTTATAAAAGAAAAGTTTTGCCTATAATTGATTAAACATATTAATCAGCTATATATTTGAATCTGTATCATGAGGGTAGGTTCTTCCTATTTTTGTTTATGTATTTGGTGGTTGTGGTAAGAGGAGATGTTAAAAATGTCCTTTCTTTCACTGTTCATTTCATTCATTTATTTATTTAATTTAAAGATTTATTTATTTATGCAAATAAGAACTGGGGTACAGGCCAGAGGTGTGGAGGTGAGAGGATTCACCAGAGACAAAGTGGGGAACAGAACAGGCAGACTGACAGAAATACACTGCTGAGGGGAGCAGCAGGAGAGACAGGAGAGGTCTGCTGCACCATGTGGGTCAGCTCCCTGGCTGAGGATCGAACTTGTGCTGCAGTGGCTGTGGGCAGCTTCACTGGCTGTGTCTTAACCCCTTGCGCCACGAGAGAGGTTCCTGCTGATTTACTTTTTTTTTTTTATAGAGGCATGTTTTATTTATTTATTTGTTTGTTTGTTTGTTTTGTTTTGTTTATACATGCACTGGGTACAGTCAGAAGCGCGGGAGGGTGAGAGAATTCACCAGAGCCAGAGCGGGGAGCAGAGCAGGCAGAAGGACCGAAGCACACTGCTGAGGGGAGCAGCGGGCGGCAGGAGAGGTCTGCAAGCCATGTGGGACCCTCCTCTGGTGGCCGGGGAGCAGCCGGGGATCAAACTGGCGCCACAGAGGCTGCGGGCAGCTTCGCAACCCAGCGCTCAACCGCTGCGCCACCGGGGAGGCCCCTGATTTACTTTTTTTTTTTTTTTAAATAATTTTATTTTATTTTATTTAATATTTATTTATTTATTGAAGCACCGGGTACAGTCAGAAGCGCGGGAGGGTGAGAGAATTCACCAGAGCCAGAGCGGGGAGCAGAGCAGGCAGAAGGACCGAAGTACACTGCTGAGGGAGCAGCGGGCGGCAGGAGAGGTCTGCGCGCCATGTGGGACCCTCCTCCGGTGGCCGGAGAGCAGCCGGGGATCGAACCGGTGCTGCAGAGGCTGCTGGCAGCTTCGCAACCCAGCGCTCAACCGCTGCGCCACCGGGGAGGCCCCCCTGATTTACTTTTAATGTCCATTCAGCAAAATTAAAAAGTGGCAACCTATGTGGTATTACCTTGTGTGAAGATTTTCCCAGCTGACAAACTCCCATAGTTGGAAAACTAAGCTTTGGGATTAAGAGAGACACTGTCTTACTCATTAAGTCTTAGTGAGTAACAAATCCTTTAGAAGCCGAGTCAACCAGTAGCAGTGACTCAGTCCCGTGGGACAGCATGGAATGCCATAGTTACTAGAATACCTACCTCAAAATTAAATGCAATTATTTTAACACTTAAGATAGCATTACTCAAAGTTAAACTTTGGACCACCTATATCAGGTAAACTGTCTAAAAAGATTTCTGGGAATTGATTCGAATGCAAAAAGTCATGAGTTTCTGAAGGGTCTAGAAATCTGCATTTTAAACTAGCCCCCAGTTGCTGATGCTTAGGTTCACAGGCTCAGGGGAGCTCTAAAAATGCCCATATCCATACAGAAGTTCTACATAAGAAAGTTTGAAAGATCAATTACTACCCATTAGAAGGGTGTCCTAGAAGAAGTAGACCCATTAACATGATACTAAGTTATGAATGTATGTATTTTTCTGCAGAGTTGATCCACCGTTAGATTGAAAATGTTAATTTCACATGAAAAGGATCTTCAACACATACCATGAAATTTTATTAACAAGTATTGTTCAAGGGGGTAGGGGGAAGCAAATATTGTTTAAAAATGAACAATGAGGTAAAAAAAATTAAATTAAAAAAAAAAAAAAAAAGTATTGTCCAGATACTGTTAGTTCAAACTGGAAGACCTATTCCAGAATCCAAACATAGTAATCCCTGAAAAATGTTCACAGCCATCACCCCAACTTGAGCAGGGACACAGATGTGGTAAGGGAAAAAAATGTGGAATTCCCGGTTTTGAAACTCCTCTTAGTGATTAAACTGTACTTAACGGGACAGGAGTAAGTGACAAGGTTCGACATTCTGTCCTTATACTAAAGGAAGGGTAGAATTAGAGAAAACAGAGTTAAGAAAAGTACAAATAAGACAATCTCACTTCTAACCTCAGTACCACCACCATCAGATTTATATAGTCACAGGGCTCCAAAGTAACAGATTCAGTCATCCTGAAAGGTGTAGTGGTGGTAGTGGTGTCAAAGACCTTCTAACGAGATCATAGAGAAGCCTCATTACAATTTTCAAGGTCTAGCAAAACCATTCAAACTATACCCATGTATTAAAAGAGAAAGATCAAGAAAAAATATACAAGATAAGTAAGAGCATAACTGGTTAAATACATCAACAACAAACAGCAGTAAAACCAAGTCATTAATAGAGAAAAAATCTGAGAAAAAGCAAACAAGATGTAAAGAAAAATATAGCAATGAATGGTCAGATTGTTACATAGATCTAACAACTAATTAACTGTTGTCTCTGAGTAGGCAACAGAATAAAAAAAAAATTTCTGACATGAAGACCTAAATTTGATTAGAAGGGTTCATTGTACTTTTCAGAATTTTTTTTTATCCTCTGCTTTATCAAAATAAAGAACCCAGACACGGTATCAAAAGAGAGACAATAAATTTATTTACCCACATAAATATACAGGGTAATTTATTATGGTCTTAGAACAACATGAAATTGAAAGTTCTGGGAAAGGGTTACAAAGTTATACAGTGTGACAAAATGAATCAGGATGATGTATCACGCAGTATTCTAACAATATTGGGAGAGGCACATGGGCGAGACAGGAAAACACAAAGAGAAATATGTCAAGGAATATTCTCACTTTTCACAGTAGGAAGGCACTTGGTAAGATGTGGGGACATTATTAATACATGTGGGCTTAACTTTTTGTTATTTGAGATCTTGAAGTGACCAACAATAGAAATGGAACTTAAAACCTCTACTTTCTAAAATATGGTGTGAAGAAAACCTCTATCATATGCAAAAGAGGCAAAATGAAAAGAGGCCATGGAAGTAGAGTGAGCTGCACAGAGCAAGTCTGAGAAGCATGCTCTAAAGACAGGTCTGATTAAATTTAATGTTTTCAACATGCAATTTTTGTATGAAGAACAAATTAATTAGAAGACAGTTCAGAAGGGCACACATGGTTAGAAGATAACAAAATGAGAAGTGGTGAAACCTGGACATTTAGGGGCTAAAGAAAGGAGATATAATAAGCACAGAAAGTTGAAAATTACCTGTACTGCTCTGCCACAACACATTTTAAACCATGAATGAGTTCAAGTGCAATTAGTAAGGCAATTATGTCAGCGCCATCAGAAATCATGTTAGTTCATCCCAACTGGAAATGGTTGCACTTGTAGGTAACAACAGCTAAACGCAAAATGCCATAATGTACTAGTATACAATACACACTCCTCTGGGTTCAATCTGGCTACATACTCAGTCTCCCAAGTGCTTACTGCTCAGGTCTCCCCAACGTTGAATGCACACTGTCTTCAGCAGCAGCTTCCACTCTTCCCTGTACTCCATTAAACTACCTTCAACTTTTTTTTTTTAAAAAGATTTACTTATTTATGCATGCAAGAGCTGGGGTACAGGCCAGAAGTGTGGGGGTGAGAAGGTTCATCAGAAACAGAGTGGGGAACAGAATAGGCAGACTGACTGAAATACACTGCTGAAATACACCTGTGGGTGAGACAGGAGAGGATTGCTCCCTGGCCGGCCGGGGATCGAACTTGTGCTGCAGAGGCTGCAGACTGCTTCACAGGTTGTGTCTTAACCCCTTGTGCCACCAGAGAGGCCCAACTTCAACTTTTTTATTTTATTTTATTTTTTTTTAAAGAGGGTTTTTTTTTCTTTTTTTAAGATTTATTTATTTATTTATACAAGCACTGGGTACAGTCAGAAGCACGGGAGGGTGAGAGAATCCACCAGAGCCAGAGAGGAGAGCAGAGCAGGCAGATGGACCGAAGTACACTGCTGAGGGGAGCAGCGGGCGGCAGGAGAGGTCTGCGCGCCATGCGGGACCCTCCTCTGGTGGCCAGGGAGCAGCCGGGGATTGAACCGGCGCTGCAGAGGCTACGGGCAGCCTCGCAACCCAGCACTCAACCGCTTCGCCACTGGGGAGGCCCCCACCTTCAACTTTTTTAATAAGTATACTTTAACAGCAATTTTGTTATGTTATAACTTCAATTAAAAAAAAAACTGTTGTAAGAACACACAGTTTGAGATCTACCTTCTCAACAAACCTTCGCGTGTACATTATTAATCATAAGCAAGATGTTGTAAAGCGGAGCACCAGAATTTTATCATCTTGCTTACTTGAAACTTTACAGCCACTGAAGCTCATTCTTCTCCATCTGCCCCCTATTTCTACCCCCAGAAACCACCATTCCAGTATCCATCCTTCTGTGACTGGAGAATAAAATTAAAGTGGAAGGGAGACTAGTTTGGAAGTTAATGGGACGAGACAGTGAGGAGGTACTTAAAGCAGGGGTCAGTCTTACAGAGACAAGTTCACAGAAGGAATATGCCTTATTTAAAGCAATTTCTTAAAATTTTACAACTCTGGTCACCCTTTCCCAAAATAGGCCATTTTTAAAAAAGTTGATCTAGCAAAGAAATTAGATATACAGAAACATTAAACATGTCACACATATGACAAGCTACAAAACTATTATTTTCAAAAGATTACAATTATCCAAAATACAAACACCGATGTGAGAGACATGGAACTCGGTTGACAAGGAAGATTTAGGAATCAGTCTCTCCAGAAAAGCAACTATTCAGCTGACAAGCAATGTCTGGAGAAACCATTTTCAAACTATGGAGT